GAAAATAAAACAACTAAATAGCGGCGTATGATACGCCGCGGGTCGGCTCGTTGGTGTAATTATAGCTATTATGGGTCAAGGGGTAAAGGAATGGTAACTCGGGCTAGTAAACGATAACTAGAAAAAAATACTTGAGTTATAGCCCTTTACACAACAAATAAATTACATCATCAAAACTTATTTCGTTGTTTAATTATTGAAGCATTAGGGAAATAATAAAACATGACCTCGTGGTATTATTTTACATTTTGTGTATTTATTTTAAACTTGAAAATCAATTTGCATAAACAAAATCCAAAAATTTAAACCACTTTCATATTTTTCATACGAATTAATCTGAGAATTATGATAGCAAAAAAAGATTCAGAATTTTTTTTAAATTTCTTTTTTCCCGCCTAAAACACTATTTTAATTTTTTTTTTCAAATTGTGAGAAAATAAAGAGGATAACAAACACAAGAAAAACAAACTTGCTGTGTACCAGCTATTGAAAAACTGATGCAAAAAGACAGAAATTGTTTCTAGAACATCTCTATGACATTTCGTTTTGTTTTCAGCCTAGACACCAGTACAGGTGCACTAAATAGAGAGAACGTCCTGACTTACTGCCTGGTGTTTTAGGTTGCTTAAGTGGATCATTCCTTAGGTGTGTGTAGGTGTGTGTGTGTGTGTGTGTGTAGGGAGAAGAGGGGAAGGAGGGGGGGATTGGTGGTGGGTGTTGAGACCTCTGTTGAATAATATACTAGCATGAGTGAGAGCTTTGAATGTTAAATACATGTTGGTGGAGCAGTATACATTTCTCGCGTCATTATTGGGATTGGTTTATATGAGGGAGGGAATGGAGTGGACGAAGGGGGTGAAGGTGGGGGTGGAGTAGGGGGTGGAGGTGGGGGGAGGTGAAGGTGGGGTGGGTGGAGGGGGGGTGGGGGTGGAGGTAGGTAGAAATCGTCTTGAAATACAGCATTGATGGACGACCTGTAACAATTGAACGTGCTGCGTTAGTTAAAGTTTTAAAAATTAAATCCTCTTTGTTTTTAAAATCAACAACCTTTCGAACTAGAAAATCATAATTGTAAATATGTCGACATATTTTCTTGCTAAATGTTATAGGGGGCGTACTTGCATGACATTTTCACCTAAACTTAAGAATTCATTAGATTTTACTTGTAAAATAATGTTTCATTATCTCCAATATTTTGTTTTATATAGTCTCATAAATACCCCGACAAAAAATCTTTGATTGCAGCGATAACCCCCTGATGTAACTTAGGTGTAAAACTAACAACAGCTAGCTCTAGAGGAAAGATAACTCTAGAGAAAATCAAGGAACGATAACTCCAGCTGCCTCGAGTCAAGAGCCAATGTATCCCAACACTGCTGATTCCCACCAGACGCGCCCCTCGCTTGATGTAATGAAGGATAGCATTTTGTTTCTCGACCTGACGACTGCTTTTCTGGCAACAAATTCCTTCTTGATTATCTCCCTTCATTTCCTACAAAGACGTTCGCAAGTGCGCGATAATTAACAACAGTTTTTATCTAGTACACGGGTAAGGGGAAGTAAGTCAAGCAGAAATATTACATAGCTAATTAAAGATCCTAATTTTCAAAGCTACACGAGTGTATAGGAAGCTCTCGATTTGATGTCTGATATAAATAATAAAACAAAAAAACGCAGAATCGTGAAAAAAAAGTTAATCTACCTAACAATATTAGCGGCTGCAGGAGACTTAGTGAGTGTTCTATGATTGCATCAACTCAGTGCTGGGAAACCGACAATATTTCTGTGTTTGATACACGGTTTACCCAAGTCGGAGTAAATGATGAGCTAGCTAATCGTCCGTGTCTCTTTAAATAAAGCAGTATGGAAGACCTTGGGTGGCAGAAATAAGCATAGATGTTAGGGGAGGTAACCGGTGGTTTAAAATGGATTGATTTTTTCATAAAAGAAACCTAACTCTTGAGTCCTGTTGCTTTAGATCAGATAAACAGGCAGACACGAAAACATACAAAGAATGTGTGTGTGTGTGTGTAAAAGCGGATTAGATATAATAAAAAAACTCACAACTTTTGTGTGTGAAAGCTGATTAGATATAATAAAAAAGCCCACAACTTTTGTGTGTGAAAGCTGATTAGATATAATAAAAAAAAACTATTTTTTAAGATTTCTGATTTGTTTTATTCATAACCAAAAGGATTTTTTTTAAATTTAAGTTTTTTTTCCTTGTGAAAATAATAACACAAATAAAATAAATAAATAAATAAAACATTGAAAATCTCGAGATAGACTTCTGTTAAGTATAAGCAGCTTATTTTTTTTTATTTTTTTGCAACCGCGTGTGCACAATAAGAAATGTTTGCAACATAAATAAAAACACCCCCTCCCTCGGGCGTCGTGTGATTGATGTCATCATCATAAATAGAACGTTTAATGTGCTGTTAAATCATGCCTGTCTCTCTGTAGGAAGGTGCAGATAGTGACGTCTGTACACGTTGATGACGTCATCAGCACAGCCCACGTGGCAGCAGACGATACATGTGTCAGGGAGCAGACGTGTGGCCTGTGGGTGGCGACTGTGTGACTCTATGGTGAATTGTTGGGCTGGAACTTGGTTCATTAATACAAATTACAGAACTCTTAATGAAAATAATTTAGAATGGACCCAAAGGTAATCTCAAAGGTATTCGAGAGTCCCATTAAATATTATAAAAATCACGCACGATGTAAATAAATTAATCTCTATATATAATAAACCGGAAGTGATCTCCCCTAAATTTTCTCGAATATTCATATACAACACTACGGGGGATGGCAACTCATTTTTAATGACTTAAACTTTTTAAAATAGAATCTCGTAGTGCGGAATATTATTAGTACTTTATAAATTCACAAGCGTTTTTTGAAAAATCGGAGATAGCATAAATTACTACTTCCGGTCAACGGAAATTACTCAAAATTTGACAGAAGGCAGAGAATTCAATCTTTTACTTATGTGTGAAATTTCACTTAACTGTCTGAAACAGTCCTCAAGTTTTAGGCTTTTGAAAAATTGAAAGTAGAATAACTTCCACTTCCGTTTACCGGAATATATTTTCCGTAGGGGGGGGGGGGGGGGGAGGAGAGGAGGCGGACACTGGTAAAAGTATGTTTTCTATAGATGTCAGTGAACTGTGTCCTAGAGGTCAGTGAACTCTGACCTAGAGGTCAGTGAACTGTCCTAGAGGTCAGTAAACTGTCCTTGAGGTCAGTGACCTGTGTCCTAGAGGTAAGTTAACTCTGACCTAGAGGTCAATGAACTGTGTCCTATAGGTCAATGACCTGTGTCCTAGAGGTCAGTGAACTGTGTCCTATAGGTCAGTGACCTGTGTCCTAGAGGTCAGTGACCTGTGTCTTAGAGGTCAGTGAACTCTGACCTAGAGGTCAGTGACCTGTGTCCTAGAGGTCAGTGAACTGTCCTATAGGACAGTGAACCAGTCTGCGTCCTAGGGTACCTAAAGAATTTTTAAAAAGTAAAGAGTAAAAAAATAAAACAGGTATAAGAGTGATAATAAAACATTAGACTAAGTTTTCAAAAGTTCAAAATGTTGAAGATGATAGACAAAGTTGAAAAAAGTTCTAAAGTTGAAGATGATAAAGAAAGTTGAAACAAGTTCTAATGTCGAACAAGATAGACAAAGTTGAAAAAAGTTCTAATGTCGAACATGATAGACAAAGTTGAAAAAAGTTCTAAAGTTGAATTTGGTGTGATGGTAGACAGACTTGAAACAATTGATGTGTTGAAGTTCTTTTTTTGATCATTATGATAATATGGCCTCACCTTATCCTTGAGTAATTTATCACGTCAAGAGCCCATCCCCTAATGAAGTCAAGTCCTGCCATTTGACGGTTTATGTCTCTCCTCTCTAGCGGCGGTCCACACAGCATCCACTTGGTAAGTTTTTGTTTTATTCACCTTTCGTCTAAATAGTAGATTTAATAGTTCAACTCAATTATTAGAATATTGAACACGTTTATAAATAAAACTATTTAGAATTAAAAGATGGGAAGGGGGAATTAAATTGCTGGTGTCTGACACCCGAGTTATCTTTACTTAAACATTTTAAGCAAGTAAGTAATCGGCATTCATTCAAAATTGTATTGAGACCATTAATTTGGTACTTTGAAATGATTTTCGTACTTAAACAGTGTTTTGTTTAGACTGAATGTTGTAATAAAGAAAGTTAATTATCGCCCAGCGCTTTTACTATAATTTTTAAATTCTTTAGTGTGGTTAAACATTCCTGTCCATATATTTTCTAGACGTGTTTTATTTTGTTGAACCTGATGCAGGTCTCTGTTAGCATCTTTCTCTTATCATGTACATAGAGCCACCGACTTTATGAGAGTAAACAAATGAAATGCTTGGTGCTAAACGTTCTTAAATCACATGTTTGTGACAATCAAGCAAGTGATGGTCGTTATTCCTCTAGTATGAATTAAACTTATCTACATATATTAAAACTGAAGTTTGTATGTAAGGATATGTTTTATAGCCAGTTTAAATTTTTAAACCTATTTATCTCAAAATGTTGTTTTTGTGACTTCAGTAATTTTAGCTCTAATGTCTACACATGCAGATTTATGTTTACTTTCTCTAATCATGTACATACAACCACCCATGTTATGCGTAGGCCGGTACTTGTATACTAGGTGAGACATATTCGGTCACATTTCTCGTGTAGGACTGAACAATGGAATATATTTGATACATTTCTCGTGTAGGACTGAACAATGGAATATATTTGAACAAACTGTGAACTGAATGGTAGTCAAAGAGCAATGTGGAGGGGGGGGGGTCTTTAGTCGTAATTACATTTGTTTAGAGTTATGGAGAGGCACAGCATAGTGTATTTGTGCATTTATTCGTTATAGATATTTTGGACTTATTACTAGTTGAATGAACATTTAAAAGCTGATTTTAAACGCCATATTGTATGATATATTGAACACGTTCCATGATGTTAGACTGGTTGATGTCACTATGGGTGGGATGTTCCATGTTTATAGATGTTTTACTGGGGTATTTGATGATGCATAGTAGCATGGTGGCAAGGTTGATGCTCTATAGAAATTATAGCCACATGTGTGATATTCTATAGCACTTAAGTGCATATTTGATATTCTATAACACTCAAGTGCATATTTGATATTCTATAGCACTTAAGTGCATGTTTATTGTTCTACAGACCTTAAGTGCATGTTTGATGATCTATAGAACTTTAATAGCTTATTCTATCGAACTTTCCTGCGCCCATCCCGCCAACCATCCCGCCAACCATCCCGCCAACCATCCCGCCAACCATGATGTCTAAAGCCATCTACTGACAGCGATTGACCCGTGACAGCCAGGGCACATGGAAACTGTCAGCTGTCATGTCAGGCTGTCATGTCCCCATCATCGGTCCGTCACTCGAGACAAATGGGAAAGGTGGGGGGGGGGGGGGGGAGGTGGGTGGGGGGGGGAGCCCCACAGTGAGGCTCTCACCTAACGGAAGCGCTTAAAAGTTTGAACATGCGCAGAGATGGTCATTAAGTTATTCTGTCAATCAAGTTAGGGTTTGATCCAAGCAGCGTGTGTGTGTGTTCGTGTGTGTGTGTGTGTGTGTGTGTGTGGTTAGTTACATCTGTGCTGATGGTGTATAACTGGTATACACATGTTTTCGTGCAGGCTATTTAGTACAGATAGGCTTGTGTGTGACGTTTGTTTCATGTACAGACCAATCTACAATCTTTCTCTCATTCCAGTGACCGTGAGAAATGTCCATCACACATGTGCTGGTCAGTCTAGCCGCTCTAGCCGCCCTCCTCCCAGGTGCCTGGTGCCAAAACTTTGCCGGACAGTCCAGTGGTCTTAGATCTGACTTATGGGGAACCTCAGGTAAGTGGGCAGACACAGAGGGGGGGGGGGCATCAACGGACGGGTATTTTAATTGTAATTATACAATTAGTAACACCAGTCTTATTTAAAAGAGGAAGTGTAATAAATAACATCCCACCATTAAAAAAAACGGTAGAGACCTTAGCATTTTTATTTCTTAGAATATACTTTCGGATATTGACCAAATGAGAGAGTAAATATCTTACTTAAAAACTTGTTATTTTGAGACAGATCTAGAGTTCATTATTTTTTCTTTGAGTGCCTGTAATAAAAAAATGTACCCAGGTCTGACGTCACAACAGCTGTCCCTGCTCAGACAACAACTGACTGACCGAGGCCAGTTAGGACGCAGCGTCCTACAGAGACCACTACAGACAGACAATGACGCCAGAAGTGTACGGTAAGGACATCACTGTGGGCTGAGGTTTTTTTTACACTGTTGGTACACAACTGAATAGGGAGGAGCTTTTTAAATATGTGGTCGGGAATTATCAGTAAAGGGTTTCTTTCAGAAAATTTTCTCCTGTTGGGGTGGGGGGGGGGGGGTGTCACTTGAAACTGAAAAAGAGGGCGTGCGGACTTAAAATATCCGCGGGACGCTGGGTGAAGTGAATATTGTATATCCAAATTACAATTATTAAAGATATCGTCCGGGGGTGGGGGTGGTTGACGTGTTCTGGAGGACAGGGGCATTGCCCTTCCCCCTGGAGATATTCCCAGTATGTGTATTGTTCTAAGTTCTCGAACATGTTCCAGGCTCTCACGAGAACAGATGTTACAGCGAGATGGCCGGTTCTATCAGTCCCAAAGACAGCCGGTCAGCCTGAGACCCCAGCAGACACAAGCCGGTTACAGCCGGCTGGCCTTGCCGGGTCAAAGAATCCCAGCCAATGTCCAACTGGCCAGGTAACGTCTTCCACATCTAATTAGATGCAAATTAAATTAGACGCTAATTAAATAAGACACCAATCAAATTAGACGCTAATTAAGTTAGATGCCAATTAAATTAGACGCTAATTAAATAAGACACCAATCAAATTAGACGCTAATTAAGTTAGATGCCAATTAAATTAGACGCCAATTAAATAAGACACCAATTAAATTAGACGTTAATTAAGTTGGACGCTAATTAAATAAGACACCAATTAAATTAGACGCCACTTAAATTAGACGCCACTTAAATTAATCGCCAATTAAATTAGACGCCACTTAAATTAGACGCCACTTAAATTAATCGCCAATTAAGTGTTGACCTTTCGTAATATTGACCCAGCCAATCAAGATGTACACGTCATCAGTTGTGTCACTGAATTGTTTCAGGATAGACCGCACGGGCAGGATAATTCCCCTCACCCCACGGGAGAGCGATGACTTCATCAAACGTGGGGGTCAGGTCGTTGACCACATCCGTGTCAGGTAACTAGGTCCACAGTGACCTTACATTAGGTCATTAGGTCTGGTATTCTTTTGAACGGTGCCCGCAATCTCAAGTTTTATTTCTATACATGATTGTTTACACTTTTAATCTTCATCTTGGCTTGTAGCTACATGTCTGAGTTGCTACATGATTGTGGGGCTTCATGATTGTGTAGCTACATGATTGTGTGGCTACAAGATTGTGGTTCTACATGACTGTGATGCTACATGATTGTGGTGCTACATGATTGTGATGCTACATGATCGTGTGGCTACATGACTGTGATGCTACATGATTGTGATACTACAAGATTAGGATGCTATAAGATTGTGGTGCTGCATGATTGTGATGCTATAAGATTGTGGTGCTACATGATTGTGATGCTATAAGATTGTGGTGCTATATGATTGTGATGCTACATGATTGTGAAACTACATGATTGTAATGCTATAAGATTGTGATGCTACATGACTGTGATGTTACATGATTGTGGTGCTACATGATTGTGATGCCATAAGATTGTGGTGCTACATGATTGTGATGCTACATAACTGTGATGCTACACGATTGTGTGGCTACATGATTGTGATGCTACATGATTGTGATGCCATAAGATTGTGATGCTATACGATTGTGATGCTACATGATTGTGATGCCATAAGATTGTGTTGCTATACGATTGTGATGCTACATGATTGTGATGCTACATGATCGTGTGGCTACATGATTGTGATGCTACATTATTGTGATGCTGCATGATTGTGTGGCTACATGATTGTGATGCTACATGATTGTGATGCCATAAGATTGTGATGCTATACGATTGTGATGCTACATGATTGTGATGCCATAAGATTGTGGTGCTACATGATTGTGATGCTACAAGATTGTGTTGCAACATGATCGTGTGGCTACATGATTGTGTGGCTACATAATTGTGATGCTACATGATTGTGGTGCTACATGATTGTGATGCTACATGATTGTGATGCTATAAGATTGTGTTTCCCACAGAGATCCCTCAGCCTACAACAGCCCGTCGTCACTGGCTCGAAATGTGGTGCCTCAGTCACGTGATGACCCCAGAACTAGAGGACAGATTAGCAGTAAGTGTGTTTGTGTGTCTGTATGAGTCCCTGTGTTTGTCTGTGTGTTTGTGTCTGTATGTTGGCCTGTGTGTAACATGTGCTCATATGTTAGTGTGTTTGCTCGTGTGTATGTCTATGTGTATTTCTGTAGGTGTTTCTGTGTGTGTGCTTATTGTTATTTCCGTGTGTGTTTGTTGGTGTTTCTGTGTGTGCCTGTGTGTTTGCATGTCTGTATGTCTATGTGTGTGTGTGTTCATGTGTGTGCCTGTGTCTGCCTGTGTGTATCGCCAGGGTCCATGTGTGTGTGTGTGTTTGTATGTCTGTATGTCCATGTGTGTGTGTTCATGTGTGTGCCTGTATGTATCACTAGGGTCCATGTATGTGTGTATTTGTATGTCTGTATGTCCATGTGTGTGTGTGTGCCTGTATGTATCACTAGGGTCCATGTGTGTGTGTATTTGTATGTCTGTATGTCCATGTGTGTGTGTGTGCCTGTATGTATCACTAGGGTCCATGTGTGTGTGTATTTGTATGTCTGTATGTCCATGTGTGTGTGTGTGCCTGTATGTATCACTAGGGTCCATGTGTGTGTGTATTTGTATGTCTGTATGTCCATGTGTGTGTGTGTGCCTGTATGTATCACTAGGGTCCATGTGTGTGTGTATTTGTATGTCTGTATGTCCATGTGTGTGTGTGTGCCTGTATGTATCACTAGGGTCCATGTGTGTGTGTATTTGTATGTCTGTATGTCCATGTGTGTGTGTGTGCCTGTATGTATCACTAGGGTCCATGTATCAATGAAATGAAAACCTCTGCAGTAGACGACTAGGTCTGATATCTGGGTTGCCTTATTTAAAAAGAATGCTGTAATTAAATCTCTAATCACACTAATTGACTTAGATACGGCCCACTAATTAAACCTGTACCTGTCAGGTCCCAACAGACTGTCAGACGACAGCAGAAACCAGTTCCAGAGATCCAACGTTCAGAGACTTCCCTCACAGAGTGACAGACGGTAAGATGATAAGATTTAGATATTTGTGTTCTGTCTTTGAATATGTAATACGTCGGTTTTATTAACCCGGGCCCGTTATAGATTTTGTTTGATGCTTAGATTTTATGTTGTAGTCTAGGCCCACCAACCTGTAGATTTTGTTTGATGGTTAGATTTTATGTTTTATACTAGGCCCACCAACCTGTAGGTTTTGTTTGATGCTTAGATTTTATGTTGTATTCTAGGCCCACTAACCTGTAGATTTTGTTTGATGCTTAGATTTTATGTTTTATACTAGGCCCACCAACCTGTAGATTTTGTTTGATGCTTAGATTTTATGTTTTATACTAGGCCCACCAACCTATAGATTTTGTTTGATGCTTAGATTTTATGTTTTATACTAGGCCCACCAACCTGTAGATTTTGTTTGATGCTTAGATTTTATGTTTTATACTAGGCCCACCAACCTGTAGATTTTGTTTGATGCTTAGATTTTATGTTTTATACTAGGCCCACCAACCTATAGATTTTGTTTGATGGTTAGATTTTATGTTTTATACTAGGCCCACCAACCTGTAGATTTTGTTTGATGGTTAGATTTTATGTTTTATACTAGGCCCACCAACCTGTATTTTTTTTGCTAACAGTTCAAACAACGCCGACCTTGACCTTACAGAGCAGCGCAGACTGCAGGCACTACAGAGAGAGCAGGAAATTTATAAAAAAATTATGCAGGTAAATAGTTTTGCTGAGTAGCCCTAATAAAATCCGCCACAAAACCTACATAGATGAAGATTTTCGTAGGAGATAACCAACTCAAAACTACAACAAATTTGGTCAGGATTTTTTCTTTCTGAAGAGAGATTTTTTTGTGATATAACTGCTGTTGATTTTGACGTTCGTACATGTCAGATTTAAAATAGAAGAGAAAAAAAAAACATATGTAATATATTTAGCAAAAGAAATTACTGTCATACATGTTGTAAATAAATGAGATTTAAATTAACACAATTATAGCATACTAAAAAGTAAAAATCAATATTGAGTGGTGTTTATCACAAGCTAAATGGCACGTGATCCAACGTCACCCAACATGACCCACATGACCCACCATGACCCAACATGACCCACTATGACCCACATGATCCAGCATGATCCAACATGACCTAACGCGACCCAACATGACCCACATGACCCACTATGACCCACATGATACAACATGACCCACCGTGACCCACCATGACCCACATGACCCACATGACCTACATAACCCACATGACCCAACATGACCCACCATGACCCACATGACCCACCATGACCCAACATGACCCAACATGACCCACCATGACCCACATGACCCACCATGACCCAACATGACCCACCATGACCCACATGATCCAGCATGATCCAACATGACCTAACGCGACCCAACATGACCCACTATGACCCACATGATACAACATGACCCACCGTGACCCACCATGACCCACATGACCCACATGACCTACATAACCCACATGACCCAACATGACCCAACATGACCCAACATGACCCAAAATGACCCAACATGACCCACTATGACCCACATGATACAACATGACCCACCGTGACCCACCATGACCCACATGACCCACATGACCTACATAACCCACATGACCCAACATGACCCAACATGACCCAACATGACCCAACATGACCCAACATGACCCAACATGACCCACCATGACCCACATGATCCAACATGACCCAACATGACCCAACATGACCCACATGACTTAACATGACCCACATGACCCCACATGATCTAACATGACCCACCATGACCCACCATGACCTACATGTTTTAACATGACCCAACATGACCCAACATGACCTTACGTGACCCAACATGACCCGCCATAACTCACCATGACCCACATGATCTAACATGACCCACCATGACCCACCATGACCCACATGATCTAACATGACCCACCATGACCCACCATGACCCAACATGACCCAACATGACCCTCATGACCACCATGACCCACCATGACCCACATGACCCACCTCTCGTGTGTGCAGAAGAAACAAGAAGACCTGGCCCAGCTGAGGAGAATAAACGACGAGAAGGATCTACAGCACAAGCTGTTGCAACAGCAAATTCTGGAGAAACAGCAGCTGTTGCTGAAACAGCGGCAACAGCTGTTACTGCTACAACAGCAGAATGTACAGCCAACAGCAGCAACAGAGAAACCAGCTACAGCCGTACAGGATAAACCAGCTGTTGTTCAGGAGAAGCCGGGATCTCAAGACAAACCAGCTACAGCCGTAGTTCAGGATACTCCAGCTACAGCCGTAGTTCAGGATACTCCAGCTACAGCTGGTGTAGAAAGTACACCACTAATCTCAGCACAAGCTGGTAAGATTTGGTTGAGGTTGTGACCTTTAAATTTGATTTAACTTGCCGGTTCTAAATCTAATCTTCTTTTTCTCCTGTCGGTTGATTTGGGGGTGAAGTAGAGTTTATCTGTTTCTTTTGATACGACTTTTGAAACCATCATAATGCCAAATCTCTCTATACCTCTCTAAATAAACTGAGTGTTTGTTTAATGGGATAAACCTAACCAAACCTACATCTCCATGCGCAATGAACAAACATGCAACAACTTCAATCTTCAACAAATCTACAACTTTTGTTTTCAGCCTCAGAGCCTAACACTGTGACGAAGAATTTCCAGAATGTTACAGAACCAACAGTTCAGTACTCACACAAAGGTCAGGGTTATATGCCCGTGTGCTGTGGACCATCAATGTCCCCTGTGTGGTCAGGTGGGATAGCAGCGACAACTTAAGCGATAGCTCAATGTTCGAACCTTTGCTCAGTTTGGGAGAAACGCTGGTCTAGGGATGAGTTGTAGCCAGAACGTCATCTTAAAGAATAGATGAATGTTGAAACTGTCTTGTATAGACTAGATGAATGTTGAAACTGTCTTGTATAGACTAGATGAATGTTGAAACTGTCTTGTATAGACTAGATGAATGTTGAAACTGTCTTGTATAGACTAGATGAATGTTGAAACTGTCTTGTATAGACTAGATGAATGTTGAAACTGTCTTGTATAGACTAGATGAATGTTGAAACTGTCTTGTATAGACTAGATGAATATTGAAACTGTCTTGTATAGACTAGATGAATGTTGAAACTATCTTGTATAGACTAGATGAATGTTGAAACTGTCTTGTATAGACTAGATGAATGTTGAAACTGTCTTGTATAGACTAGATGAATGTTGAAACAGTCTTGTATAGACTAGATGAATGTTGAAACTGTCTTGTATAGACTAGATGAATGTTGAAACTGTCTTGTAATAGACTAGATGAATGTTGAAACAGTCTTGTATAGACTATATGAATGTTGAAACAGTCTTGTATAGACTAGATGAATGTTGAAACTGTCTTGTATAGACTAGATGAATGTTGAAACTGTCTTGTATAGACTAGATGAATGTTGAAACTCTCGTGTAGAGACTAGATGAATGTTGAAAGATTAAAACCTCGCATTGTTCCTATGTTTTAGAGCCAGTGAATACAAAGAGAGAAAGGATCTACCAGCTGGCTGAACTACTAGGCTTCAAGCCTACAGATCTCTTCAAGCTGGTTGCAGAAATGGAAGCCAGTAAAGTCATAGGTAGTGTTGGAATCTGGTGCTTTCATTAACCACACTATCGATTTTTTCGTTTAGATAACATTTTAGCAATAAAATATGATATTATATATGTGATGTGTAGTTTAGTACTTTGAAAACTGAAATATTCTCCCATTGAATGCAGCACAGCGTCCTGTAGACACAACAAAGCCATACCTAAATACAGCTGAACAGACGACCCAATCTTTACTACAGCAACCAGAGCAGACGACAGAACTACCGCATCTGGTAACTTGGTTACATTACTCACCACACCTGGTTACATTACTCACATTTGGTAACCTGGTTACATTACTCATCACATCTGGTTACCTGGTTACATTACTTACCACATCTGGTTACCTGGTTACATTACTCATCACATCTGGTTACCTGGTTACATTACTCACCACATCTGGTTACCTGGTTACATTACTCACCACATCTGGTTACATTACTCACCACATCTGGTTACCTGGTTACATTACTTACCACATCTGGTTACCTGGTTACATTACTCATCACATCTGGTTAAATTGTTACAAAACTCACCACATCTGGTTACCTGGTTACATTACTTACCGCATCTGGTAACCTGGTTACATTACTCACCACATCTGGTTAAATTGTTACAAAACTCACCACATCTGGTAACCTGGTTACATTACTTACCACATCTGGTTACCTGGTTACATTACTCATCACATCTGGTTAAATTGTTACAAAACTCACCACATCTGGTTACCTGGTTACATTACTCACATCATCTGGTAACCTGGTTACATTACTCACCACATCTGGTTAACTGGTTACATTACTAACCACATCTGGTTACATGGTTACATTACTTACCGCATCTGGTAACCTGGTTACATTACTCACCACATCTGGTTACCTGGTAACATTACTCACATCTGGCTACCTGGTTACATTACTTACCACATCTGGTTACCTGGTTACATTACTCATCACATCTGGTTAAATTGTTACAAAACTCACCACATCTGGTTACCTGGTTACATTACTTACCGCATCTGGTAACCTGGTTACATTACTCACCACATCTGGTTAACTGGTAACATTACTCACATCTGGCTACCTGGTTACATTACTCACCACATCTGGTTAACTGGTAACATTACTCACATCTGGCTACCTGGTTACATTACTTACCGCATCTGGTAACCTGGTTACATTACTCACCACATCTGGTAACCTGGTTACAAAACTCACCACATCTGGTTACCTGGTAACATTACTCACATCTGGCTACCTGGTTACATTACTTACCGCATCTGGTAACCTGGTTACATTACTCACCACATCTGGTTAAATTGTTACAAAACTCACCACATCTGGTAACCTGGTTACATTACTTACCGCATCTGGTAACCTGGTTACATTACTCACCACATCTGGTTAACTGGTTACATTACTAACCACATCTGGTTACACGGTTACATTACTTACCGCATCTGGTAACCTGGTTACATTACTCACCACATCTGGTTACCTGGTTACATTACTCATCACATCTGGCTACCTGGTTACATTACTCACCACATCTGGTTACCTGGTTACATTACTCACCACATCTGGTTACATGGTTACAAAACTCATCACATCTGGTTACCTGGTTACAATACTCAACTCATCTGGTTACCTGGTTACATTACTTACCACCCAACCACCAACTAAAACAACACATCCCCAAACACCAACTAAAACAACACATCCCCAAACACTAACTAAAACAACACATCCCCAACTTCCAACTAAAACATGTTTCCCCTCCACTATAGCACATACCCAACTACCAACTAAAACAACACATCCCCAACTACCAACTAAAACAACACATCCCCAAACACCAACTAAAACAACACATCCCCAACTACCAACTAAAAGAACACATCCCCAACTACCAACTAAAACAACACATCCCCAACCACCAACTAAAACAACACATCCCCAAACACCAACTAAAACAACACATCCCCAACTACCAACTAAAACAACACATCCCCAACTACCAACTAAAACAACACATCCCCAACTACCAACTAAAACAACACATCCCCAACTACCAACTAAAACAACACATCCCCAACTACCAACTAAAACAACATATCCCCAACTACCAACTAAAACAACACATCCCCAACTACCAACTAAAACAACACATCCCCAACCACCAACTAAAACAACACATCCCCAAACACCAACTAAAACAACACATCCCCAACTACCAACTAAAACAACACATCCCCAACTACCAACTAAAACAACACATCCCCAACTACCAACTAAAACAACACATCCCCAACCACCAACTAAAACAACACATCCCCAAACACCAACTAAAACAACACATCCCCAACTACCAACTAAAACAACACATCCCCAACTACCAACTAAAACAACACATCCCCAACTACCAACTAAAACAACACATCCCCAACCACCAACTAAAACAACACATCCCCAAACACCAACTAAAACAACGCATCACCAACCACCAACTAAAACAACACATCCCCAACCACCAACTAAAACATGTTTCCCCTCGACTACAGCACATCCTTAATCAAGATCCAGGACTGGCCACAAAGATCAACGTCTCACTGGTTGTTGGAATACAGAACGAGGTGGGTGTAGGGGGAGGGGCAAGGTGTCCAAGAACGGGGTGGGTGTAGGGGGAGGGGCAACGTGTCCAAGAACGAGGTGGGTGTAGGGGGAGGGGTAATGTGTTCAAGAACGGGGTGGGTGTAGGGGGAGGGTCAAGGTGTCCAAGAACGGGGTGGGTGTAGGGGGAGGGGGGAGATGTCCAAGAACTAGGTGGGTGTAGGGGGAGGGGTAATGTGTTCAAGAACGGGGTGGGTGTAGGGGGAGGGTCAAGGTGTCCAAGAACGGGGTGGGTGTAGGGGAGGGGCAAGGTGTTCAAGAACGGGGTGGGTGAAGGGGGAGGGGCAAGGTGTCCAAGAACGGGGTGGGTGTAGGGGGAGGGGCAAGGTGTCCAAGAACGGGGTGGGTGTAGGGGAGGGGCAAGGTGTCTAAGAACGGGGTGGGTGTAGGGGGAGGGGCCAGGTGTCCAAGAACGGGGTGGGTGTAGGGGAGGGTCAAGGTGTCTAAGAACGGGGTGGGTGTAGGGGGAGGGGCAAGGTGTCCAAGAACGGGGTGGGTGTAGGGGGAGGGTCAAGGTGTCTAAGAACGGGGTGGGTGTAGGGGGAGGGGCAAGGTGTCCAAGAACGGGGTGGGTGTAGGGGGAGGGGCAAGGTGTCCAAGAACGGGGTGGGTGTAGGGGGAGGGGCAAGGTGTCTAAGAACGGGGTGGGTGTAGGGGGAGGGGGGAGATGTCCAAGAACGGGGTGGGTGTAGGGGAGGGTCAAGGTGTCCAAGAACGGGGTGGGTGTAGGGGGAGGGGTAAGATATCCAAGAACGGGGTGGGTGTAGGGGAGGGGCAAGGTGTTCAAGAACGGGGTGGGTGAAGGGGGAGGGGCAAGGTGTCCAGTCGTTAGTGTCCAAGTAACCAGTCTAGACACCATGTACTAGTTGACTGATAATTTTTTTACTGCTATTTATCTTGACCAGCAGCATCCAACATCACCAGCTAATAACATCCTCGACATCCACGGTACCGACCTCACCACGCTACATCATGGTACAGATGTGTTTTCTAGCCAAACATCAACATCTGGCCAACCATCAACATCTGGCCAACCATCAACATCTGGCCAAACATCAACTTCTGGCCAACCATCAACATTTGGCCAAACATCAACATTTGACCATCAGCTAGCCGTGGAACAGACGACCACATCCTACAGGCCAACGGCCAGTGTAGTGGACCCAACAAGTTAGATATCTAATGATAGGTTTTAGCTAATGATAGGTTTTAGGTAATGTTAGGTTTTAGCTAATACTAGATTTGAGCTAATGACAAGTTTTAGCTAATAATAGGTTTTAGCTATCGCTGGATTTAAGTTGTTGAGGGGCGGGAGGGGGGGGGGGGGTGCGGACCGCACCGGGTGACACCATTTAGGGGGCGGGGGTCAGAACGAGAAAAAAATCCTACATATGTAGAATAAATGTTCACTAGAATAAAAAAAAATATTTCAGTACATAATGACGATCCAGAAAAATGAGGGATTGGGGGGGGGGGGGGGAGACAAAAAAGGGGCGGGGGTTGACATAATGAGGTGCCGCACCAGGTGACACCCGACCTAGCGACGCCATATATATATATATATATATATATATATATATATATATATATATATATATATATATATATATATATATATATATATATATATATATATCCACGCTTTTGATAAGTTAAAGTTCCCAATAGGTTTTAGCTGGTAAAATATAACAATCGTAAAAATAGCAACTGAGAATATCACTTTCAGCCAAAAGCTAATTTCATCTTTTCTCATGCATGGATGAAAATTAAATTTTTTGCCGAGCATGTAATGTTTGATTAGATACCGCCTTCAAAATCTGTAGATCTTCATTAGTTTTGTTTGATGACAAATATTGATTCTAGTGGGAATTTCATGCACTCATTTTACAGTTTATGTTTTTTCTTTCACTGTGAATGTCTCTTCACTTTATTTACTTCTTTTTATTTTTCATTAACAGACAGTGCTAGGGTGAATGACCTCATTAGACAAATGGTCATTGATATGCTAATGAGCAAGATCCAGAACACAAAGAAAAACTCAACTTCCGGTGTAACCGAGGCCCAGCTGACCAATGAACTGTTAAAATTACTGGGCGGCGTCCCCGTGAGTACACCGGATGTGACGTCACAGGTCCAGCAGACGACACAAAGCGCAGTCACCAGCACTGTGGCAAACTCGAAACCAGTTGTGGGAACTGATCCTGGTAATGGTTCATTAAATAAAACAGGTCTAGAGAATCTAGATCTAGTCTTAGTTTAAGGATGAGCATTTGAATATCGTTCATGTTACCCCTAAACCATTCAGTATTAAAAGCAATTTAAATTTAATTTCAAGTTTAAATATTAATAAGGAATATTTCAAATCTAAAAAAAAAAATTAAAACGGAAACGGGTCTTGTAAATAGGTAACAAACTTCTACTTTTCGTACTTGCCAGCAAGAATTTTTCAAACCAAATTTTAATATTTTTATTAAATAGTTAAAATTTTTTTTATTAAATAGTGATGCGACTTCTGCCATTGCTACGTTTTGTAAAATAGTAAACAAAGATAGCGATAGACTACAATAAGCTTAAATAAAAATATAGCCTACGTTTAATTGTGATTTTGTTATAGAAGCGTAAAGCTTGTTATCATTATTCGAATCCGTAACAAAATGTCCTAAACAAGTTATAATATAATAATAGCCCCGCCTACCAGTAATTAATTTGATTCAAATATTTGTAAAAAAAATTGATTTTATTAATTGTAAAATGTTATAATTATAATATTTTGGGTACTCGGAAATTTAAAATCTAAAAGCGAGGCCTAGAAACAAATAGCCGCCATGTTTTTTGTCATGGGAATAATGTTCACAACGATTAAGTTTTTCGAAAATGTGTATCTCTCCCTGGCTAACGAGATTTCGAATTTTAATTGAGAGAGACCGAGACTTACAAGCCATAGCCTTGCGTTTTGTTTTAGCATTGACTGAGTATATGCCCGTACACATATTGCACATTTTCTCTGTTAGAATGAGACTGTGTGTGTGATGTGTGTATGTTAGTAACTGAAACGTTTTGCAAAAAAGTGTATTTCTTTTAGAACTGGATGACTTTTGTTTTGATATTTTTTGTCTCACCATTTTGTAACAAATATTTCAGTGCCTGCAGTAGGGCCAGTTTTTGCTCCCGCTCCACCATCCACATCGGCTCCAACAAGCTCAACTCCACCAACGGCACCTCCACCAAGTTTACCTGCTGATCAGATCATTAAGGTACCAGTAGTTTTGTTTCCTCATTAGTCAGGTACCAGTGCTTTTGTCATTGGTCAGGTACCAGTACTTTTGTCATTGGTCAGGTACCAGTACTTTTATTTTCTCATTAGTCAGGTACCAGTTCTTTTCTCATTGGTCAGGTACCAGTACTTCTGTTTTCTCATTAGTCAGGTACCAGTTCTTTTCTCATTGGTCAGGTACCAGTACTTTTGTTTTCTCATTAGTCAGGTACCAGTTCTTTTCTCATTGGTCAGGTACCAGTACTTCTGTTTTCTCATTAGTCAGGTACCAGTTCTTTTCTCATTGGTCAGGTACCAGTACTTCTGTTTTCTAATTAGTCAGGTACCAGTTCTTTTCTCATTGGTCAGGTACCAGTTCTTTTCTCATTAGTCAGGTACCAGTACTTTTGTTTTCTCATTAGTCAGGTACCAGTTCTTTTCTCATTGGTCAGGTACCAGTACTTCTGTTTTCTCATTAGTCAGGTACCAGTACTTTTGTCATTGGTCAGGTACCAGTACTTCTGTTTTCTCATTAGTCAGGTACCAGTACTTTTGTTATTCGCCAGGTACCAGTACTTTTGTCATTCGCCAGGTACCAGTACTTTTGTTTTCTCATTAGTCAGGTACCAGTTCTTTTCTCATTGGTCAGGTACCAGTACTTCAGTTTTCTCATTAGTCAGGTACCAGTTCTTTTCTCATTGGTCAGGTACCAGTACTTCTGTTTTCTCATTAGTCAGGTACCAGTTCTTTTCTCATTGGTCAGGTACCAGTACTTCTGTTTTCTCATTAGTCAGGTACCAGTACTTTTGTTTTCTCATTAGTCAGGTACCAGTACTTCTGTTTTCTCATTAGTCAGGTACCAGTTCTTTTCTCATTGGTCAGGTACCAGTACTTCTGTTTTCTCATTAGTCAGGTACCAGTTCTTTTCTCATTGGTCAGGTACCAGTACTTCTGTTTTCTCATTTGTCAGGTACCAGTTCTTTTCTCATTGGTCAGGTACCAGTACTTCTGTTTTCTCATTAGTCAGGTACCAGTTCTTTTCTCATTGGTCAGGTACCAGTACTTCTGTTTTCTCATTAGTCAGGTACCAGTACTTTTCTCATTGGTCAGGTACCAGTACGTCTGTCATTGGTCATGTACTAGTACTTTTGTGTCCACCTCTAAAAGGTTGTGTCCACCTCTAACAAGTTGTGTCCACCTCTAACAAGTTGTGTCCACCTCTAACAAGTTGTGTCCACCTCTAACAAGTTGTGTCCACCTCTAACAAGTTGTGTCCACCTCTAACAAGTTGTGTCCACCTCTAACAAGCTGTGTCCACCTCTAACAAGTTGTGTCCACCTCTAACAAGTTGTGTCCACCTCTAACAAGTTGTGTCCACCTCTAACAAGTTGTGTCCACCTCTAACAAGTTGTGTCCACCTCTAACAAGTTGTGTCCACCTCTAACAAGTTGTGTCCACCTCTAACAAGCTGTGTCCACCTCTAACAAGTTGTGTCCACCTCTAACAAGTTGTGTCCACCTCTAACAAGATGTGTCTACCTCTAACAAGTTGTGTCCACCTCTAACAAGTTGTGTCCACCAAGTTGTGTCCACCTCTAACAAGTTGTGTCCACCTCTAACAAGTTGTGTCCACCTCTAACAAGTTGTGCCCACCTCTAACAAGTTGTGTCCACCTCTAACAAGTTGTGTCCACCTCTAACAAGTTGTGTCCACCTCTAACAAGTTGTGTCTACCTCTAACAAGTTGTGTCCACCTCTAACAAGTTGTGTCCACCTCTAACAAGTTGTGTCCACCTCTAACAAGTTGTGTCCACCAAGTTGTGTCCACCTCTAACAAGTTGTGTCCACCTCTAACAAGTTGTGCCCACCTCTAACAAGTTGTGTCCACCTCTAACAAGTTGTGTCCACCTCTAACAAGTTGTGTCCACCTCTAACAAGTTGTGTCCACCTCTAACAAGTTGTGTCCACCTCTAACAAGTTGTGTCCACCTCTAACAAGTTGTGTCCACCTCTAACAAGCTGTGTCTACCTCTAACAAGTTGTGTCCACCTCTGGTTCCAGAAGGTCAACGTCCAGCTTGCCCACCTGGCAGAAAACATCATCGAGGCCCTGATTGTGCAGACGTCAACTGGCACCCTGTCTGGAGATGATCCGCTCATCCGAGCAGCCAAAGCTCTACTCATGGAGATCAAGGACCTAACCCAGCCCACAAACAACACCTCGCAGTTATCTCCCTTAAAGCCCGTGTCGCCAACCTCTTATCCTGTGTTACCTCCCTCTAAACCCGAAAACAACAGTCTTTTCAATCAGCTGTCATCGGGCAGTCCATCACCCCCAGGTTTTGACAGTCTGTCAACCCACAGCCCTGTTCATGACAACACCACTGTGCTGTCTGATGCTGTCTGGTCCAGCACTACGGCCAACTACACCACTGATGGTGGTTTTACCTACAGCACAAACATGGGGAACAGCACAAACATAGGGAACAGCACAAACATGATAAACAGTACAAACATGGCGTATAGCGCAGACATGATAAACAGCACAAACATGGCGAACAGCACAGACGTGTCAAACAGCACAACAGCTGAGGTAACAACGGAGGCATCAACAAGCACCGTTGTCATGACAACAGACCCAGGGGAAGCGGCACCAACACCACCCCCTCCCCCACCAGGCATGCCCCACATGTTTGAGGCTCAGCCTGGGATGGTGAGAAGAATTTTTTTTTTGGTAGCTCAAGACAGAAACTAACACAGGTCAACTAACAAATACACGAAAGATGTCCGCACTAATATTTTGTTTCTCATAGATTTAATTAACACTTCAGTTTTGTTTTACATCTTTGGTGAAAACGTGCTTTTATTAATTTAATCTTGGAAAAATAACACATTTCTATCTAAAATTAGTTCGAAGAAATTTAAAAAAAATTGTAACATTTTAAAATTATTGTTCATAAACTTCCTTATTAGAAATTGGTTATTTTGATGAATATTTCACACCTCACCCTAGCCTAAACGCAGCCAAATGGAAATCATATTTTTATGATTCAAAACATGGTGTTTTATTTATTTGCATGGTTCTGCGTTGCTTTCCTCTTATTATTTTTGATTGATTATTTTTGCCAGACTAATTAACTTAAACAACTGTCTGTGTTGAAATAGTTGATGAAATATATCTTGTTGTAATGAAATAGACGAATGTGAATCATTTTCTGCTTGTACTTACAATCAGCACTGTACCCTGCTTGTTTGTAAACATTGATCGTCCATCATGTGTGATTGATGGAACAGCCCTTCTCATTTCTCTCACCAGCAGCCCACAGAGAGCACGAGTCCCGAGAGTTTGAGAACCCCTGGCCAAACGCTGGCCCTACTGGAGCAGGAACGGTCGGCTCTCATTGCAACACTGGCCAGATTTTACGGTGTGCCACTTAGTCAAGCCGAAAGTATTTTTAAACTCATTGAGGCGAACAAAAAGGTAGCGGCAGATAGCAGTACCCAAAGACAAGGTCAAAGTTCAACCCAAACACAAGGTCAAAGTTCAACCCAAACACAAGGTCAAAGTTCAACCCAAACACCAGGTCAAGGGTTAACCACGGCGGATAACGTTAACCAAACAGATGGCCAAAATGTAGAATACAACCCAACTGAATCTCCCGTGTCCAGAACTAGCAGTGAATACACAACAGTTAGAGACTCAGGCTCAGGTGTCAGAGGGACATCAGAAGCAACTGATCTCTACACAGACCTGCGGCAGTGGTCAACTAGCAGTGCTACACAGTCAGTGGGAGGACAAGATGTCACACCTCAGTCTGTCACTGACATGACAGGTGGGTCAATGCTGACAACTGATCCATCACTTGCTCATCATCCTGATGATACGGTTGTACCACCCAATGATGTTACGGTTGTACCACCCAATGATGTTACGGTTGTACCACCCAATGATGCTACGGTTGTACCATCTATTGATGGCAAAGATGTCGCGACAATGAATGGTACAGTGCAAACAACCACCAGTGGTGCTGTGTTAGCCAGCAGCCAATCAACAACCACCAGTGGTGCTGTGTTAGCCAGCAGCCAATCAACAACCAGCAGTGGTCTGGCGCCTCCTGCCATTCAGCAGATGGCCAGTGATATCGCTAGGATGTACGGCCTTCCACTAGATGACGTTATCCAATTGTTCTATAGCGCTAAGACCACAGTCACGGCACAGAAGATGACGTCAACCCCAAACCCATCCAATGGAGAGATGACGTCAATTTCAAACCCATCCAATGGCGAGATGACATCAGTATCAAACCTATCCAATGGAGAGATGACGTCAATTTCAAACCCAATCGATGGCAAGATGACGTCAGTATCAAACCCAACCAATGGCGAGATGACGTCAGTATCAAACCCATCCAATGGAGAGATGACGTCAGTATCAAACCCATCCAATGGAGAGATGACTTCAACCCCAAACCCAACCGATGGCGAGTCTCAAATTACAAACCTAGGAACCACACCTGGAAGGGAGGTACCTGTGGGTAGTGAGGTACCTGCGTCTGCCTCCTATACACAGGACAACTCTACTGGATCTACTCTCCACGAGGGTGCGACAAATGGAGACCTTGTTTCACCAACTAACAACATAACAGACACACAATGGGCACAAGAGACAACCACACAACCACAGTGGGCACCATTGACAACCACACAACAACCACCATCCAACCTGAATCTGCTGATGAAATCATTATCCAAGTTGGCCCAGGAACTCCAGGCTAGAAAACTCCAACAAGAGGAAACAACCACCCTCAGTGGTCAGACAGTCAACGAACCTGCACCTAGTAGCCCCACCCTCAGTGGTCAGTCAGTCAACGAACCTGCACCTACTAGCCCCACCCTCAGTGGTCAGTCAGTCAACGAACCTGCACCTACTAGCCCCACCCTCAGTGGTCAGTCAGTCAACGAACCTGCACCTACTAGCCCCACCCTCAGTGGTCAGTCAGTCAACGAACCTGGACCTACTAGCTCCACCCTCAGTGGGCAGTCAGTCAACGAACCTGGACCTAGTAGCACCGCCCTCAGTGGGCAGTCAGTCAACGAACCTGCACCTAGTAGCTCCACCCTCAGTGGGCAGTCAGTCAACGAACCTGCACCTAGTAGCCCCACCCTCAGTGGTCAGTCAGTCAACGAACCTGGACCTACCACCTATTTAGGTGCGGCAGGTAACACAGGACAGGAGGCGTAAGGTTGTGATTTAACACACGTCAAATGACAGGTACGTTTGTTATATAGGGCTAGAACTATGTCAAGTGATTTAGTTAAGATGACAATTTATAAATGGCATTTAACATGTGTACGTTTATGGTATCTATTGTCAGTTTTAGTTCATTAGCATATACTAATAGTATAGTCCTCTTTAAAACGTGCCAAGCCCCTTCTTGTTATGAGCATTACATTGGCAGTTAATTAAGATCTAATGCCTAGTTAGTAGCAAGTTGACTTTGAGGCTATAGTTTGTTCAGTTGGTGCATGATTGTTTGATTTTTGCATGATTGTTGATTAGTGCATGATTGTTTGATTATTGCATGTTTGTTTGATTATTGCATGCCTGTTTGATTTTTGCATGAGTGTTTGATGAACTAGTCATTTAACAGCATATGGTAGTTTATTAAAACACTGTTAAGTCTTAGATTAACCTGCTATTTTAACACGTTCGCCATTTGGCTCCAGTTATTTTATTAACTGTACTAGTATAGATGTGTTTACAATTGCTTTGCTGTAAATGGTACTGATATATTTAAAATACGCATTATTATATTATATGCCCCCGTCCGAGGTTCTAGAGTTTAATTGCCTGTCCTGTCCACTTAATTACCTGTCCTGTCCACTTAATTACCCCCTGTCCATGTAATTACCTGCCCTTTTACACTTACCTGCCCCTGCCCTGTTATTTTGCTGCCCTAGTCATCTTAATTACCTGTCCCAGTCCAAATAATTAACTGCCCCTGTCCAACTAATTATTTGACCCTTTCATAATTGCCTCTGACCACTCAATTATCTGCCCCTGACCACTTAATTATCTACCCCTATCCATTTAATTATCTGCCCCTGTCCACTTAATTACCTGCCCCTGTCCACTTAATTATCTGCCCCTGTCCACTTCATTACCTGTCCCAGTCAACTTAATTACCTGCCCCTGTCCACTAAATTACCTGCCCCTGTCCACTTAATTACCTGCCCATGTCCACTGAATTACCTACCCTGTCCACTTAATTACCTGCTCCTGTCCACTTAATTACCTGCCCCTGTCCCCTAAATTACCTGCCCCTGTCCACTGAATTATCTGCCCCTGTCCACTAAATTACCCACCCCTGACCACTGAATTACCTGCCCCTGTCTGTCTGCAGGCGGTAGATTCCCTAGCAACAGCCCTAGCGACGGTGGCCAGCAGGTTCAACATGACCCCCACTGAGCTGCAACTCATCCTGGCATCGCGCTCTCAGAGCAACACATCAACACACACAACAGCTGATCACGTGACTCCCGTAGAGACAACACCCACAACACCTTTGGAAACTCCAGAACCACCAGAAACACCGGAACCGATTGATGGATTGTTTCCCTTTTTCTTCGATGCCAAGCCAATCAGCAACACTCCATACAACTCTAACCCTAATTCTTATCACAATTCTAATCACAATTCTAATCACAATTCTAATTTCAATTCTAAATTCTTAAATTTCCTGGGTTATTCAGTCTGAAATAAAACTGTAGTTTTGTTTATTTGTTAAGTTTTTTTCTCTCTCTCTCTCTCTCTCTCTCTCTCTCTCTCTCTCTCTCTCTCACACAAATTTTGTGGATGTTTGTGTAATGTCTACATCAAATTTTGTGACTATTTGCTTTATTTTTTGATTACTTCTATTTTAATGGATTTTTGGGTATTTCTATGTTTACATCTAATGTTGTGGATGTAGGCCTATGTGTAGTACTTGATTGTGTAGTATTGCTTTACTTCAAATATTTAAAACACAAGTTGTTGTAATTGTAAAACACAGGTGTCAACTTTGTACCATAAACAATGATAAATGTAGCACTAATGCTTCATTATAACCTTGTTTTTGTTATTTTTTCCTTTTTTATTACTTTTAGGAAAATAAGTCTTGTCAAACATAGTCAAAACATTGCAATGTGGTTAAATGTATTTAATGCTTTATAATAATAATACTTTATATAAAAAGCAACTATTGACAGTGAACTGTTTCATTTTTAGGGACAATGAATTTGAGCTGCATTTTGGCTAGGGTGATTTACAGTGTGATAAGTCCTTTCATTTTCTTTTGTAGTCAAATAATTAATTTAGGAAAAAGTGTCCAAAATGTTAAATTTATCTTTTTTGTTTGAAGGAATTGACCGAAGCACAGGCCGAGTACAACGAAATGAGGGAAGGTCTTATGGTGTAGCTGGACACGCTGACCTGTGGACATGACATCATGATGTCAAAGGATGATGTTAACATCTTTGTGTTGTGCTCACACATGCATTAAGACCGAACCAATGAATAAATACAAGTCCATAACCAGCACAGCACTACACACACCTACACACCCACACATCTACACACCTACACACCTACACACCTACACACATACACACCTACACACCTACACACCTACACACCTACACATCTACACACCTACACATCTACACACCTACACACCCACACACCTACACACCTACACATCTACACACCTACACACCTACACACCTACACATCTACACACCTACACACCTACACACCTACACACCTACACACCTACACACCTACACACCTACACACCTACACATCTACACACCTACACATCTACACACCTACACACCCACACACCTACACACCCACACACCTACACACCCACACACCTACACACCCACACACCTACACACCTACACATCTACACACCTACACACCTACACACCCACACACCTACACACCTACACACCTACACACCTACACATCTACACATCTACACACCTACACACCCACACACCTACACACCCACACACCTACACACCAGCCAATGATCTAATCCATACATCTGCGTGGTGCCTGCTGTCGTGAATCTAGAGCGCGTCTGTGATTGGTCAGTTTTATTGAATAGATGTTGTAAGAAATAAAGGCGTTAATGCATGAACATTTCTTGCTTCTATTTCTATTGGCTGTTTTAGTATGTCTATGTATCTTGATATATATTTTTTTTTGTGGGGGTCTTATGTGTTATGATATGTGTCTCATGTGTGCTGATATGTGTCTTATGTGTTATGCTATGTGTCTTATGTTTGATGATATTGATATTGTATTGTCTGTGTGGTTGTCCTGGTATTATATGTATTGTTTGTGTGGTTGTCCTGGTATTATATGCATTGTTGGTGGGGGAGGGGGGTACATATGTCCCCGGGCGCCGACCTTAGGGGGCGCCAAAATGTGTTGGAAAAACAAATTGAAAATTTGAGGGGAGGGGGTGCAAATTGAAAGTTTGAGGGGGTGCAAATTGAAAGTTTGAGGGGGGGGGGGGTGCAAATAGAAAATTGAAAGGTTGTTCCCGAGGGGGGTGCCAAATCGAAAGTTTGTCCCCGGGCACTGGGAAGTGTCGCTACGCCTCTAAATATAGAAGGTTATAGCTGAGGCCCTATGATCCACAAGGTGTAAAGAGTAATAGATCTAAGGCAAGTTATAACAGTGTGTCGTTATATTATTTATATTTTTAGTAGTTGTATAACATTGACATTGTGTCTCTGTATTTTTTTACAAAGGTTATGAGCACAAAAATAATAGGCTTAATGAAATCATTGAATACGCCGATATCACAATCTGTAAACGGAAATTCCCTATTCGTTCTTTACGCGTTAAACAGAAGCGCACACAACAGCACCGCAAACTGCACTATCACCCCCAGTAGATTGGGACAAGGAGTGTTTAGTTAGTATGAAGTATTAATCACTCATTTCACTCTCCAAACATTTCAAGGTAAAACTAGTTGAATGGTAGGACTTAGATTATCTTCAAACTCTAGGTACTGTTTTATTGAAAATATCAATATATTAAGACGACGGATTATCTGTAGAGGTAGATGATCTCTAGATTATATGGCCGCTAACTCTCAACTCCTGGTGCAGCCTAAATTTAATGGCAGCAAATTTGTTGAAATCCCAAGATGAAGTTGGAATATTTTTAAAAGCTTATGTTGAAACTGTATAAATATAAAATAACGATAGGCATAAGTGTATGTGTTGTGCCAGTTTTACTTAAATACAAAAGTGATGTAGATCAAGGCAATTATTTTTTTTTTGTCATCGCTATCTGCTGTGAAAAAAGAATCCATTAAATTATTTAAATTAATGGAAATTACCGAAAATACGTACCAGAGTTTTTTTTTTTAATTTAACAATTGTTGCAAATATGCTACGGTAAATTACAAATTATACAATACCCAAAACATGCTGAATCTTTCTTTTTAAAGACGAAATGGACGAAACAGTTTTTTTAGGTTAAGACAACACTAGGTTTCACAGCATAATGTCAGATGACATCAAGGGCATGAGGGCCATACAACTCAGCTGACATTTCATATGACATCCAGATGTCACAGACTTACAGGGCCTCATGAGGGCCATACAACTCAGCTGACATTTCATATGACATCCAGATGTCACAGACTTACAGGGCCTCATGAGGGCCATACAACTCAGCTGACATTTCATATGACATCCAGATGTCACAGACTTACAGGGCCTCATGAGGGCCATACAACTCAGCTGACATTTCATATGACATCCAGATGTCACAGACTTACAGGGCCTCATGAGGGCCATACAACTCAGCTGACATTTCATATGACATCCAGATGTCACAGACTTACAGGGCCTCGTGAGGGCCATACAACTCAGCTAACATTTCATATGACATCCAGATGTCACAGACTTACAGGGCCTCATGAGGGCCATACAACTCAGCTAACATTTCATATGACATCCAGATGTCACAGACTTACAGGGCCTCATGAGGGCCATACAACTCAGCTAACATTTCATATGACATCCAGATGTCACAGACTTACAGGGCCTCATGAGGGCCATACAACTCAGCTAACATTTCATATGACATCCAGATGTCACAGACTTACAGGGCCTCATGAGGGCCATACAACTCAGCTAACATTTCATATGACATCCAGATGTCACAGACTTACAGGGCCTCATGAGGGCCATACAACTCAGCTAACATTTCATATGACATCCAGATGTCACAGACTTACAGGGCCTCATGAGGGCCATACAACTCAGCTGACATTTCATATGACATCCAGATGTCACAGACTTACAGGGCCTCATGAGGGCCATACAACAAACAGCGGGAGATTTACTTTGTTTTTACTTTGATCTTTGATGTAGCTTTAAAACATCATATGACCGATTCACTGGAGTGCGCTCAATATTTGGATAAGAAATAACTTGAAGAAACATTATCACCAGACTTTTGCGTCAATTACTTTCTTCTCATCGATTTTTGCTCCACAGTTTATATCAGACAGATATCTGACAAACTAGACTCATCTAATTATCTCTATCTGCAGACAATATCTAACAAACTAGACTCATCTAATTATCTGCAGACAGATATCTGACAAACTAGACTCATCTATAATTATCTCTATCTGCAGACAATATCTAACAAACTAGACTCATCTAATTATCTGCAGACAGATATCTGACAAACTAGACTCATCTAAGTATCTCTATCTGCAGACAATATCTGACAAACTAGACTCATCTAATTATCTCTATCTGCAGACAATATCTGACAAACTAGATTCATCTAATTATCTGCAGACGATATCTGACAAACTAGATTCATCTAATTATCTGCAGACAATATCTGACAAACTAGACTCATCTAATTATCTGCAGACGATATCTGACAAACTTGACTCATCTAATTATCTGCAGACAGATATCTGACCAACTAGACTTGTCTAATTATCTCTATCTGCAGACAATAGCTGACAAACTAGACTCATCTAAGTATCTCTATCTGCAGACAATATCTGACAAACTAGACTCATCTAATTATCTGCAGACGATATCTGACAAACTAGACTCATCTAATTATCTGCAGACAATATCTGACAAACTAGATTCATCTAATTATCTGCAGACAGATAGGCCCTATCTGACAAACTTGACTCATCTAATTATCTGCAGACAGATATCTGACCAACTAGACTCGTCTAATTATCTCTATCTGCAGACAATAGCTGACAAACTAGACTCATCTAATTATCTGCAGACAGATATCTGACAAACTAGACTCATCTAACTATCTCTATCTGCAGACGATATCTGACAAACTAGACTCATCTAATTATCTGCAGACAGATATCTGACAAAATTGACTCGTCTAATTATCTGCAGACAGATATCTGATCAACTAGACTCGTCTAATTATCTCTATCTGCAGACGATATCTGACAAACTAGATTCATCTAATTATCTGCAGACAATATCTGACAAACTAGATTCATCTATTTATCTGCAGACAGATAGGCCCTATCTGACAAACTAGACCCATCTAATTATCTGCAGACGATATCTGACAAACTAGACTCATCTACTTATCTGCAGACAGATATTTGACCAACTAGACTCATCTAATAATCTTTATCTGCAGACAGAAGACCCGTCTGACGAACTAGAATCATCAACAGAGAACAAACAACAATGTCTCGCTACTACAAAATCATTAGGAAATCATTAACACGTACAGAAGGCTTTATTAAGACTTACGGTAGGTCTAGATAGAACATTCATTAACAATTACGGTAGGTCTAGATAGAACATTCATTAACAATTACGGTAGGTCTAGATAGAACATTCATTAACAATTACCATAGGTCTAGATAGAACATTCATTAACAATTACGGTAGGTCTAGATAGAACATTCATTAACAATTACGGTAGGTCTAGATAGAACATTCATTAACAATTACGGTAGGTCTAGATAGAACATTCATTAACAATTACGGTAGGTCTAGATGGAACCAAACTTAACAAAAAGGCTTTATTAACAATTACTTCAGTTTTAGCCGTAAGAAACAAAGATTGGGCAGACTTTAATAGCAAATTGTTTTATCTTTTTTTTTAATGATAGTGATTTATGAAGGCTTCATGTTGAATGTGTGACGGTGGCGGGTTGTAAGGTGTTGTGTGTGATAGAGCTGTTAAGTCTTGTGTAGATCAATCTCTGATGACAATACACAAATCTCTGTTGGGTCTAGGATTATCTCAACAACTCACAGAAAACGTCCTACAGTACAGCAAATGTTTGGTACGACCTAACACAAAAGACATCGACGATTTAATCTTCATAGCGGAGATGTCACGACACTTTAAGTTGTACAACAACTTCATGCTCAACTTGATGTACAACTGTAAGTACAACTTCAGTGGTGTCTAGAGGTTTTAATGGGGAGTACAGCTTCAGTGGTGTCTAGAGGTTTTAATGGAGATTACAGCTTTAGTGGTGTCTAGAGGTTTTAATGGGGAGTACAGCTTCAGTGGTGTCTAGAGGTTTTAATGGAGAGTACAGGTTCAGTTTTGTCTAGAGATTTTAATGGAGAGTACAGGTTCAGTTTTGTCTAGAGATTTTAATGGAGAGTACAGGTTCAGTTTTGTCTAGAGATTTTAATGGAGAGTACAGGTTCAGTTTTGTCTAGAGATTTTAATGGGGAGTACAGGTTCAGTTTTGTCTAGAGATTTTAATGGGGAGTACAGGTTCAGTTTTGTCTAGAGATTTTAATGGGGAGTACAGGTTCAGTTTTGTCTAGAGATTTTAATGGAGAGTACAGGTTCAGTTTTGTCTAGAGATTTTAATGGGGAGTACAGGTTCAGTGGTGTCTAGAGGTTTTAATGGAGAGTACAGGTTCAGTGGTGTCTAGAGGTTTTAATGGGGAGTACAACTTTAGTGGTGTCTAGAGGTTTTAATGGAGAGTACAGGTTCAGTGGTGTCTAGATGTTTTAATGGAGATTACAGGTTTAGTGGTGTCTAGAGGTTTTAATGAGGAGTACAGCTTTAGTGGTGTCTAGAGGTTTTAATGGGGAGTACAACTTTAGTGGTGTCTAGAGGTTTTAATGGAAAGGACCGGTTGGGTGGTGTCTAGAGGTTTCAATAGGGCTGTCTCATAGCGGTATTTGGTGGGCAGTACCTTTCATGTACCCCCTGACTATTCCAGCACTAAAACACCCTTTCATGTACCCCCTATTCCAGCACTAAAACACCCCTTTCATGTACCCCCTATTCCAGCACTAAAACACCCCTTTCATGTACCCCCTATTCCAGCACTAAAACACCCCTTCATGCAACCCCTATTCCAGCACTAAAACACCCCTTTCATGTACCCCCTATTCCAGCACTAAAACACCCCTTCATGTACCCCCTGACTATTCCAGCACTAAAACACCCCTTCATGCACTCCCTATTCCAGCACTAAAACACCCCTTCATGTACCCCCTGACTATTCCAGCACTAAAACACCCCTTCATGTACCCCCTGACTATTCCAGCACTAAAACACCCCTTCATGTACCCCCTGACTATTCCAGCACTAAAACACCCCTTCATGTACCCCCTGACTATTCCAGCACTAAAACACCCCTTCTTGTAACCCCTATTCCAGCACTAAAACACCCCTTCATGTACCCCCTCTCTATTCCAGCACTAAAACACCCCTTCATGTACCCCCTATTCCAGCACTAAAACACCCCTTCATGTACTCCCTAACTATTCCAGCACTAAAACACCCCTTCATGCACCCCCTATTCCAGCACTAAAACACCCCTTCATGTACCCCCTCTCTATTCCAGCACTAAAACACCCCTTCATGTACCCCCTATTCCAGCACTAAAACACCCCTTTATGTACCCCCTATTCCAGCACTAAAACACCCCTTTATGTACCCCCTCTCTATTCCAGCACTAAAACACCCCTTCATGTACCCCCTATTCCAGCACTAAAACACCCCTTCATGTACCCCCTATTCCAGCACTAAAACACCCCTTTATGTACCCCCTCTCTATTCCAGCACTAAAACACCCCTTCATGTACCCCCTGACTATTCCAGCACTAAAACACCCCTTCATGCACCCCCTATTCCAGCACTAAAACAACCCTTCTTGTACCCCCTGACTATTCCAGCACTAAAACACCCCTTCATGCACCCCTGACTATTCCAGCACTAAAACACCCCTTCATGTACCCCCTGACTATTTCAGCACTAAAACACCCCTTCATGCACCCCTGACTATTCCAGCACTAAAACACCCCTTCATGTACCCCCTGACTATTCCAGCACTAAAACACCCCTTCATGCACCCCCTATTCCAGCACTAAAACACCCCTTTATGTACCCCCTATTCCAGCACTAAAACACCCCTTTATGTACCCCCTGACTATTCCAGCACTAAAACACCCCTTCATGTACCCCCTGACTATTCCAGCACTAAAACACCCCTTCATGTACCCCCTGACTATTCCAGCACTAAAACACCCCTTCATGTATCCCCTATTCCAGCACTAAAACACCCCTTCATGTACCGCCTCACTATTCCAGCACTAAAACACCCCTTCATGCACCCCCTATTCCAGCACTAAAACACCCCTTCTTGTACCCCCTATTCCAGCACTAAAACACCCCTTCATGTACCCCCTGACTATTCCAGCACTAAAACACCCCTTCATGCACCCCCTATTCCAGCACTAAAACAACCCTTCTTGTACCCCCTGACTATTCCAGCACTAAAACACCCCTTCATGCACCCCCTATTCTAGCACTAAAACACCCCTTCATGTACCCCCTGACTATTTCAGCACTAAAACACCCCTTCATGCACCCCTGACTATTCCAGCACTAAAACAACCCTTCTTGTACCCCCTGACTATTCCAGCACTAAAACACCCCTTCATGCACCCCCTATTCCAGCACTAAAACACCCCTTTATGTACCCCCTATTCCAGCACTAAAACACCCCTTTATGTACCCCCTGACTATTCCAGCACTAAAACACCCCTTCATGTACCCCCTGACTATTCCAGCACTAAAACACCCCTTCATGTACCCCCTGACTATTCCAGCACTAAAACACCCCTTCATGTATCCCCTATTCCAGCACTAAAACACCCCTTCATGTACCGCCTCACTATTCCAGCACTAAAACACCCCTTCATGCACCCCCTATTCCAGCACTAAAACACCCCTTCTTGTACCCCCTATTCCAGCACTAAAACACCCCTTCATGTACCCCCTGACTATTCCAGCACTAAAACACCCCTTCATGCACCCCCTATTCCAGCACTAAAACAACCCTTCTTGTACCCCCTGACTATTCCAGCACTAAAACACCCCTTCATGCACCCCCTATTCTAGCACTAAAACACCCCTTCATGTACCCCCTGACTATTCCAGCACTAAAACACCCCTTCATGCACCCCCTATTCCAGCACTAAAACACCCCTTTATGTACCCCCTCTCTATTCCAGCACTAAAACACCCCTTCATGCACCCCCTATTCCAGCACTAAAACACCCCTTCATGTACCCCCTGACTATTCCAGCACTAAAACACCCCTTCATGTACCCCCTATTCCAGCACTAAAACACCCCTTCATGCACCCCCTATTCCAGCACTAAAACACCCCTTCATGCACCCCCTATTCCAGCACTAAAACAACCCTTCTTGTACCCCCTGACTATTCCAGCACTAAAACACCCCTTCATGCACCCCCTATTCCAGCACTAAAACACCCCTTCATGTACCCCCTGACTATTCCAGCACTAAAACACCCCTTCATGCACCCCCTATTCCAGCACTAAAACACCCCTTTATGTACCCCCTATTCCAGCACTAAAACACCCCTTTATGTACCCCCTGACTATTCCAGCACTAAAACACCCCTTCATGTACCCCCTGACTATTCCAGCACTAAAACACCCCTTCATGCACCCCCTATTCCAGCACTAAAACACCCCTTCATGTATCCCCTATTCCAGCACTAAAACACCCCTTCATGTACCGCCTCACTATTCCAGCACTAAAACACCCCTTCATGCACCCCCTATTCCAGCACTAAAACACCCCTTCTTGTACCCCTATTCCAGCACTAAAACACCCCTTCATGTACCCCCTGACTATTCCAGCACTAAAACACCCCTTCATGCACCCCCTATTCCAGCACTAAAACAACCCTTCTTGTACCCCCTGACTATTCCAGCACTAAAACACCCCTTCATGCACCCCCTATTCCAGCACTAAAACACCCCTTCATGTACCCCCTGACTATTCCAGCACTAAAACACCCCTTCATGCACCCCCTATTCCAGCACTAAAACACCCCTTTATGTACCCCCTCTATATTCCAGCACTAAAACACCCCTTCATGCACCCCCTATTCCAGCACTAAAACACCCCTTCATGTACCCCCTGACTATTCCAGCACTAAAACACCCCTTCATGCACCCCCTATTCCAGCACTAAAACACCCCTTCATGCACCCCCTATTCCAGCACTAAAACACCCCTTCTTGTACCCCCTGACTATTCCAACACTAAAACACCCCTTCATGTACCCCCTGACTATTCCAGCACTAAAACACCCCTTCATGTACCCCCTGACTATTCCAGCACTAAAACACCCCTTCATTAACCCCCTATTCCAGCACTAAAACACCCCTTCATGTACCCCCTGACTATTCCAGCACTAAAACACCCCTTCATGTACCCCCTGACTATTCCAGCACTAAAACACCCCTTCATGTACCCCCTGACTATTCCAGCACCAAAATACCCCTTCATGCACCCCCTATTCCAGCACTAAAACACCCCTTTATGTACCCCCTGACTATTCCAGCACTAAAACACCCCTTCATGTACCCCCTATTCCAGCACTAAAACACCCCTTCATGTACCCCCTGACTATTCCAGCACTAAAATACCCCTTCATGCACCCCCTATTCCAGCACTAAAACACCCCTTTATGTACCCCCTGACTATTCCAGCACTAAAACACCCCTTCATGTACCCCCTGACTATTCCAGCACTAAAACACCCCTTTATGTACCCCCTGACTATTCCAGCACTAAAACACCCCTTCATGTACCCCCTGACTATTCCAGCACTAAAACACCCCTTCATGCACCCCCTATTCCAGCACTAAAACACCCCTTTATGTACCCCCTGACTATTCCAGCACTAAAACACCCCTTCATGTACCCCCTATTCCAGCACTAAAACACCCCTTCATGTACCCCCTATTCCAGCACTAAAACACCCCTTCATGTACCCCCTATTCCAGCACTAAAACACCCCTTCATGTACCCCCTGACTATTCCAGCACTAAAACACCCCTTCATGTACCCCCTGACTATTCCAGCACTAAAATACCCGTTCATGCACCCCCTATTCCAGCACTAAAACACCCCTTTATGTACCCCCTGACTATTCCAGCACTAAAACACCCCTTCATGTACCCCCTGACTATGCCAGCACTAAAATACCCCTTCATGTACCCCCTGACTATTCCAGCACTAAAACACCCCTTCTTGTACCCCCTATTCCAGCACTAAAACACCCCTTCATGTACCCCCTGACTATTCCAGCACTAAAACACCCCTTCATGTACCCCCTGACTATTCCAGCACTAAAATACCCCTTCATGCACCCCCTATTCCAGCACTAAAACACCCCTTCATGTACCCCCTATTCCAGCACTAAAACACCCCTTCATGTACCCCCTGACTATTCCAGCACTAAAACACCCCTTCATGTACCCCCTGACTATTCCAGCACTAAAATACCCCTTCATGCACCCCCTATTCCAGCACTAAAACACCCCTTCATTTACCCCCTCTCTATTCCAGCACTAAAACACCCCTTCATTTACCCCCTCTCTATTCCAGCACTAAAACACCCCTTCATGTACTCCCTAACTATTCCAGCACTAAAACACCCCTTCATGTACCCCCTATTCCAGCACTAAAACACCCCTTCATGTACCCCCTATTCCAACACTAAAACACCCCTTCATGTACTCCCTAACTATTCCAGCACTAAAACACCCCAAGTCACCATACATGACAGTCGATGAGTACGCCAGATGTATCTTCACCTTTCTCTCCGACAACATCGACCACAAGATTGACCTGGTTTTTGATGTGTATGACGTCAACCGTGACGGCTATATCAGTATCACGGAAATGTTTATGTTGTTAAAGGTAGCATCAGTACAGGTTAAAGGTAGCATCAGTACAATTTAGAGGTAGCATCAGTATATGTTAGAGGTCGCACCAGTGCAGGTTAAAGGTAGCATCAGTACCGGTTAAAGATAGCATCAGTACAGGTTAAAGGTAGCATCAGTACAATTTAAAGGTAGCATCAGTACAGGCTAAAGATAGCATCAGTACAGGTTAAAGGTAGCATTAGTACAGGTTAAAGGTAGCATCAGTACAGGTTTAAGGTAGCATCAGTACAGGTTAAAGGTAGCATCAGTACAGGCTAAAGATAGCATCAGTACAGGTTAAAGGTAGCATTAGTACAGGTTAAAGGTAGCATCAGTACAGGTTTAAGGTGTCCGGTCAAAAACCCCCTGGACAAAAACCCCCTGGACATAAACCCCCCGACATAAACCCCCTGGACAAAAACCCCCCGCGACATAAACCCCCTGGACAAAAACCCCCCGCGACATAAACCCCCTGGACAAATACCCCCCGCGATATAAACCCCCCGGATAATAACCCCCGGACTGAGGTTTATATAAAGAAAAAATAACGATGATGTGAACCAAGAAATTAAAAAAAAATTACATTAAATTAATTTAATTTTTTACGACTAACAAAATAGTTTCTACCTAAAAAAATGCTTTTCGAAATCAAGGAGTGACCTTAGTTGTATTTGATCAAAGAACGGGCACCGACAACACCTTAGATATAGGTCATCCACATGTGGGAGCCGTGCGGATCAAAGCAACACATTCTTAACAATTCGAAAGATGTGAGGGGTTCACCGGCGGAAGCTTGGTTCATATCCACCTTGGCATACAGAACCATGGTATAAATATAAAATCAAATTTATTTCTCGACAAATCGTATATTTTCTGGAATGGAGTTTGTTCAATCCAATAAAGGAAATTTAAAGGTGATTTTTGAAGGCTATGTTAATGTCAAGCAAAAAGATCTGGCGAACGGCGTTGTGTCATTTGAGTGTTCCAAAAGACGCAACAAGGCAGAATGCAAAGCAAAAATAAAGATTCATGGTGAACAGCTTGTTGGACGATGTAATGAACATTCGCATGGACCAGATCCATCTCAACTGGAAGTGTGTAAAGTAGTGTAAAGTAGTGCAGCAGATGAAACAACTGGCAGAAGAAATGGAAGCAACACCCCAGCAGATCATCACTCAGTCCATTACTACGATTACTGAAGATGCCAAGGCTAAGCTGCCCTCGATTCCACACATACGGCGTAACATCAGGCGTCAACGTCAAACGCTAAAACACCCACTGTCTGATCCAAGGAATGTTGATGATATAATCATTCCTGAACAATATACAATGACACAAGATGGACAACAATTTCTTCTGTTCGATTCCGGTGCCAAATCAAAAGGTAGGATGTTTTTGTTTGGAACAAAGGACAACCTTAGGTTATTGGAGGTTAATCAGCACTGGTTTATGGATGGTACATTCAAAACAGCTCCTGCATTGTTTTCACAACTGTACACAGTCCATGCATTGGTCAATGGACGCACTGTTCCATGTGTTTATGCCTTGCTTCAAAACAAAACACAGGAAACATACACAGCACTCTTACAGCAGCTAACGGTCTTAAACACAAACCTGCAACCAATTTCTATTATGATTGACTTTGAAATGGCTGTGATAAAAAGTGTTGAAAGGGTATTTCCAGAGTGTGAGGTAAAAGGATGTTTCTTCCATCTTAGCCAAAATATATACAGAAAAATTCAGGACTCTGGCCTTCAACAACTCTACCAAGTTGATAGTGAATTTGCTCTCAAGCTCAGAATGCTACCTGCGTTGGCCTTTGTTCCCATCGAACACATGAGTTATGCCTTTGAAAAATTATTGGAAATTTTCCCCCAAGAAGCAATGCCGATTGCAGACTACTTTGAGGACTACTATATTGGCAGACCACAACGTCGAGGTCGAAGACAACCTATGTTTCCACTTGACATTTGGAACATGCACACACGTGCAGAAGACCATATGCCAAAAACAAACAACTCAGTTGAAGGCTGGCACAGAAGTTTTCAGTCGCATATGGGATGTTGCCACCCAAATATTTGGAAATTTATTGACTTTATTAAAAAGGAACAATCTCTCCAAGAGGTTTATTGTACACAGATTAATTCAGGTCACTGTTTACCAAAACGCTCACAATCTGTCTTTTTAAAGTTATAATAAAAAATAATTTTTTTTTCCTAATGTTTGTTTTGTATTTTTATATTAATTTTGTTTCTCGTCATCTTTGGTTTTTCCTTATATAAACCTCAATTGGGGGGTTTTTGTCCAGGGGGTTTATATCGCGGGGGGTTTTTGTCCAGGGGGTTTATATCGCGGGGGGTTTTTGTCCAGGGGGTTTATGTCGCAGGGGGTTTTTGTCCAGGGGGTTTATGTCGGGGGGTTTATGTCCAGGGGGTTTATGTCCAGGGGGTTTTTGACCGGGAGCCCAGGTTTAAGGTAGCATCAGTACAGGTTAAAGGTAGCATCAGTACAGGTTAAAGGTAGCATCAGTACAGGTTAAAGGTAGCATCAGTACAATTTAAAGATAGCATCAGTATAGGTTAAAGGTAGCATCAGTACAGGTTAAAGGTACATCATTACAGGTTAAAGGTAGCATCAGTACAATTTAAAGGTAGCACTAGTACATGTTAAAGGTAGCGTCAGTACAGGTTAAAGGTACATCATTACAGGTTAAAGGTAGCATCAGTACAGGTTAAAGGTACATCATTACAGGTTAAAGGTAGCATCAGTACAGGTTAAAGGTAGCATCAGTACAGGTTAAAGATAGCATCATTACAGGTTAAAGGTAGCATCAGTACAGGTTTAAGGTAGCATCAGTACAATTTAAAGGTAGCATCGGTACAGGTTAAAGATAGCATCAGTACAGGTTTAAGGTAGCATCAGTACAGGTTAAAGGTAGCATCAGTACAGGTTTAAGGTAGCATCAGTACAGGTTAAAGGTAGCATCAGTACAGGTTTAAGGTAGCATCATTACAGGTTAAAGGTAGCATCAGTACAGGTTTAAGGTAGCATCAGTACAGGTTAAAGGTAGCATCAGTACAGGTTTAAGGTAGCATCAGTACAGGTTAAAGGTAGCATCAGTACAGGTTTAAGGTAGCATCAGTACAGGTTAAAGGTAGCATCAGTACAGGTTAAAGGTACATCATTACAGGTTAAAGGTAGCATCAGTACAGGTTAAAGGTAGCATCAGTACAGGTTTAAGGTAACATCAGTACTTGATCTGTGTAATTGTTCCATGTTTGTTTGTTTGTGTAATTGTTCTATGTTTGTTTGTGTAATTGTTCTATGTTTGTCTGTGTAATTGTTCCATGTTTGTCTAATTGTTCTATGTTTGTCTAATTGTTCCATGTTTCATTGTTTGTCTACTTATTCCATGTTTGTCTAATTGTTCTATGTTTTTCTAATTGTTCCATGTTTGTCTAATTGTTCTATGTTTTTCTAATTGTTCCATGCTTGTCTAATTATTCCATGTTTCTAGCCAGTAGTTGGGAGCCTAGACATGGATGAAAACAGAGACGAATCAACCAAAGAACTCGTGGATGTCGTGGTGAAAATCTACGACATAAAGAACAATCCGATGATTGATTTAGAGGCTTTCAGGTGGGTCCACGCTAGGAAAGATTTTACTCTACCAAATTAGTTATACAAATACATTATTTTTAACTTTTACCTGTGAAGTTTGACAACCAAATACATTTTGTCTTTGGAGATTTTATATGCACGATTAAAGGTCTACAAAACACATTCGATAATCAATGCTTCAGGATGAATCAGCTACAGATAAAAATGGGTTGTTAATCATATGACAAATATAAAGCTAGTCCAGATACATAAAAATAATAGTTTGACGCCTTTACAGATATATAGTAAAGAATAAATTCAGTTTGATCCTATTACAGATATATAGTAAAGAATAAATTCAGTTTGATCCTATTACAGATATATAGTAAAGAATAAATTCAGTTTGATCCTATTACAGATATATAGTAAAGAATAAATTCAATTCGATCCTATTACAGATATATAGTAAAGAATAAATTCAGTTTGATCATATTACAGATATATAGTAAAGAATAAATTCAGTTTGATCCTATTACAGATATATAGTAAAGAATAAATTCAGTTTGATCCTATTACAGATATATAGTAAAGAATAAATTCAATTCGATCCTATTACAGATATATAGTAAAGAATAAATTCAGTTTGATCATATTACAGATATATAGTAAAGAATAAATTCAGTTTGATCCTATTACAGATATATAGTAAAGAATAAATTCAGTTTGATCCTATTACAGATATATAGTAAAGAATAAATTCAATTCGATCCTATTACAGATATATAGTAAAGAATAAATTCAGTTTGATCCTATTACAGATATATAGTAAAGAATAAATTCAGTTTTATCCTATTACACATATATAGTAAAGAATAAATTCGGTTTGATCCTATTACAGATATATAGTAAAGAATAAATTCAGTTTGATCCTATTACAGATATATAGTAAAGAACAAGGAACCTTTGTGCTTGCAGTTGCTCGGCCCTTGTTTACCATGTGATGAAGATATTGAAATGTAAGTACTTGTGGTAGAGGCTTAGCTCAGGGTTGTATTCGTTTAGTTATGTGGTTATGTGGTAGAGGCTTAGCTCAGGGTTGAATCCGTTTAGTTATGTGGTAGAGGCTTAGCTCAGGGTTAAATCCGTTTAGTTATGTGGTAGAGGCTTAGCTCAGGGTTGAATCCGTTTAGTTATGTGGTAGAGGTTTAGCTCAGGGTTGAATCCGTTTAGTTATGTGGTAGAGGCTTAGCTCGGGGTTGAATCCGTTTAGTTATGTGGTAGAGGCTTAGCTCAGGGTTGAATTCGTTTAGTTATGTGGTAGAGGTTTAGCTCAGGGTTGAATCAGTTTAGTTATGTGGTTATGTGGTAGAGGCTTAGCTTAGGGTTGAATCCGTTTAGTTATGTGGTGGAGGTTTAGCTCAGGGTTGAATCCGTTTAGTTATGTGGTTATGTGGTAGAGGCTTAGCTCAGGGTTGAATCCGTTTAGTTATGTGGTAGAGGCTTAGCTCAGGGTTGAATCCTTTTAGTTATGTGGTTATGTGGTAGAGGTTTAGCTCAGGGTTGAATCCGTTTAGTTATGTGGTTATGTGGTAGAGGCTTAGCTCAGGGTTGAATCCGTTTAGTTATGTGGTTATGTGGTAGAGGCTTAGCTAAGGGATGAATCCGTTTAGTTATGTGGTAGAGGCTTAGCTGAGGGATGAATCCGTTTAGTTATGTGGTAGAGGCTTAGCTCAGGGTTGAATCCGTTTAGTAATGTTTTGAACTATTGATATCCGGGTTAGAAGCTTAGCTGAATGGTGTGAGGGAAGTGCCGATGTGTTGGCTAAGCGCTTGTTGATTCTGTTTTGGAAACAAAGGTTGTGTGCTCCACTTGTCTTTTGTGTATACCTGGTAATTGTCTGGTTTTAAAAAGTTGAGAAGTGATAATGTTCTATAAAAAAATAAATTGTGTAGCTGATTATGTTCTATTAAAAAATAAATTGTGTAGCTGACTATGTTCTATTAAAAAATAAATTGTGTAGCTGATTATGTTCTATTAAAAATTAAATTGTGTACGATAATGTTCTATTAAAGATTTAAGAATGTAACTAATTATGTTCTTGTTTCCTCCAGCTTTAGGCAGACGCTAGACTCCAAGTCCATGTACGACATCCGGCATTACTTTAGGAAAGAGCGGCAAGAAGCGTTGGCCGAGATCGAGTTTAGGCCGCCTGAGAAGGCTCTGTACCCCATCCCACTCGAGTTGCCCTAGTCAGCCTCTGTCTCAGCCAGACCTACTGCTTTACATTCAGCTACAGCTTTGCTAGCTACAGCCATACCAATACTTACCGCCTTCAATTCAGCTAACACTTCGATGGCTGCAGCTATTCAAAGACTTACTTACTGCCATACATTAACTCACGATGATAGCTGCAGCCATACACATGGAACTTATACCACTATAACTTCAGCCATTTAGTTTCATTTATAAAGCCTAAACTCTCTAGACTTAAGCTAACTCAGAGTTTCTGATAGTTTCTGATCTATTAGGTCCGTCTGTATTACAAATCTGCTCATACATGTGCTCAGCTATTGTGCTAACGATAGTTTTCTTACAAGGGATAGGCTTTAAGTGTTCAATAGGACTGAGAATAATTGAGGGTAGAAAGTTCATTCACAACTTCAGCGGAGACAATTTGCAACATAACTGACAGAACTTAAGAATGGTTGTAAGAGGAAAAACAGGTCACCAACAGGTTTTCTGTAGAGTTCCTCTATTGGAGTTTAAAAGACGAATATTTCATAGTAAGTTTCATGCTAACAATTGGTTGCAGAAACCCTAGATTATTTAGGTGCAAGTTAAAATGTCTGATTTTAATAGCGAGTGTATTTAATGTTAAGAACAAGTTAAAGGCAGATAGCGCGAGTTCACTAACTTGATAGCAGTTATGTTAGCGGCTCAAAACTACCTAACTTACAAAAACTAGTGACGGTCGATATGGGGTAGGTAGAGGGACGTCTTGCTGGTCTGGTGACAACATACATACAACATACAGACAACATACAGACAACATACAGACAACATACAGACAAACGTAGACAACATATAGACAATACACACACTACATACAGACAATACACATACAAAATACAGACAACATACAGACAAAAATAGACAACATACAAACAATACACACACTACATACAGACAACATACAGACAACATACAGACAACATACAGACAACATACAGACAAACATAGACAACATATAGACAATACACACACTACATACAGACAATACACATACAAAATATAGAATACCTACGGACAACATACGGACAACATACACATAGCCTACAGACAACATTCAGTTCATTGTCCAGCCAATACACATTCAACCTACTGACAACATAGAGCCAACATAGAGACAACATACTGACAATATACAGATAATTCACAGACAGTTCACAAACATACACATTCAACATATAGAAAACATACGGACAACATACAGACAACATAGAGACAACACACACAACATACAGACAACATAGAGACAACACACACAACATACAGACAACATACTGAAAACATACAGACAACACACCCAACATACAGACAACATACAGACAACATAGAGACAACACACACAACATACAGACAACATACTGAAAACATACAGACAACACACACAACATACAGACAACATACAGACAACATAGAGACAACACACACAAAATACAGACAACATACTGAAAACATACAGACAACACACACAACATACAGACAACATAGAGACAACACACACAACATAGAGACAACACACACAACATACAGACAACATACAGACATAACAATGAAGGCACCGGTAAAAGTTTATCTATTGTATTGTAAGGCGTTTTTCTTGGGCGTGTTTTATCTAGAACATTCGATTAGTCGACAACACCAACACCAACACATATTACAACACACTCACAGAACAATAGCAAAAAACAAGCAACACATTTACTTAACATGCAACATCAATCAAAATTAGCCAATAACAAATCAAATTAAGCACATGAATCAAATAAACTATTTCATAATAATTATCTCTGTTTTTTTTTTAAATATGACGTCGTCCCACTACTGTCTTCTTAAGTATACACACATAAACGCATACATACAAACATATTTACAAATAGGTTGACATATAAGGTGAGGCAAAATAAAGGATATGTATATATATATATATATATATATATACATTATATAAAGGCCTATATATATATATATATATATATATATATATATATATATATATATATATATATATATATATATATATATACATGTTTATATAAATAAAGTATATATATATATATATATATACATGTTTATATAAATAAAGTATATATATATATATATATATATATATATCCAACAAAGTGTGCATTCTATTGTTTAACGTGGAATGAATCAAGAAAATGAGTCGTGTATGCACACATTTTTTTCATGCTTACAGTGTTATGTAAGAGAGTACCGTTACCAGCCTAATACAGTGTTAGATCAATTGAGACATATTTTCTTATCGGCATCAGGTTTCTATCATACTTCTACCTGTTAAACAAACAATACAACATCAATGCTGCAGGGAGCTGCATTAAATCACCGACGTACAAGAGAATCGGATATGCGACGAATGGAAGATGACAAAAAATTGTGTGATCTAGTGTAACTCGGGGGAAGTAATCAGCTATTTTAAAGCACTGTAGTTGTAACCGTTGTAGTCGGTCTTGGTAGTGGAGGGTCGATACAAACCTTCTTTGTGGCCCACAGATACATGCCTGTCGTATTGGCCCACACAACAGATACACAACTGTCTTAGTGGCCCACACAACAGATACACAACTGTCTTAGTGGCCCACACAACTGTCTTAGTGGCCCACACAACAGATACACAACTGTCTTAGTGGCCCACACAACAGTCTCTTGGCCCACACAACAGATACACAACTGTCTTAGTGGCCCACACAACTGTCTTAGTGGCCCACACAACAGTCTCTTGGCCCACATAACAGATACACAAAAGTCTTAGTTGCCCACACAACAGATACACAACTATCTTAGTGGCCCACACAACAGTCTCTTGGCCCACATAACAGATACACAACTGTCTTAGTGGCCCACACAACTGTCTTAGTGGCCCACACAACAGTCTCTTGGCCCACACAACAGATACACAACTGTCTTAGTGGCCCACACAACTGTCTTAGTGGCCCACACAACAGTCTCTTGGCCCACACAACAGATACACAACTGTCTTAGTGGCCCACACAACTGTCTTAGTGGCCCACACAACAGTCACTTGGTCCACATAACAGATACACAAAAGTCTTAGTTGCCCACACAACAGATACACAACTATCTTAGTGGCCCACACAACAGTCTCTTGGCCCACATAACAGATACACAACTGTCTTAGTGGCCCACACAACTGTCTTAGTGGCCCACACAACAGTCTCTTGGCCCACACAACAGATACACAACTGTCTTAGTGGTCCACACAACAGATACACAACTGTCTTAGTGGTACACACAACAGATACACAACTGTCTAAGTGGTCCACACAACAGATACACAACTGTCTTAGTGGTCCACACAACAGATACACAACTGTCTTAGTGGCCCACACAACTGTCTTAGTGGCCCACACAACAGTCTCTTGGCCCACACAACAGATACACAACTGTCTTAGTGGCCCACACAACTGTCTTAGTGGCCCACACAACAGTCTCTTGGTCCACATAACAGATACACAAAAGTCTTAGTTGCCCACACAACAGATACACAACTGTCTTAGTGGCCCACACAACAGTCTCTTGGCCCACATAACAGATACACAACTGTCTTAGTGGCCCACACAACTGTCTTAGTGGCCCACACAACAGTCTCTTGGCCCACACAACAGATACACAACTGTCTTAGTGGTCCACACAACAGATACACAACTGTCTTAGTGGTACACACAACAGATACACAACTGTCTAAGTGGTCCACACAACAGATACACAACTGTCTTAGTGGTCCACACAACAGATACACAACTGTCTAAGTGGTCCACACAACAGATACACAACTGTCTTAGTGGTCCACACAACAGATACACAACTGTCTTAGTGGCCCACACAACTGTCTTAGTGGCCCACACAACAGTCTCTTGGCCCACACAACAGATACACAACTGTCTTAGTGGTCCACACAACAGATACACAACTGTCTTAGTGGTACACACAACAGATACACAACTGTCTAAGTGGTCCACACAACAGATACACAACTGTCTTAGTGGTCCACACAACAGATACACAACTGTCTAAGTGGTCCACACAACAGATACACAACTGTCTTAGTGGTCCACACAACAGATACACAACTGTCTTAGTGGCCCACACAACTGTCTTAGTGGCCCACACAACAGTCTCTTGGCCCACACAACAGATACACAACTGTCTTAGTGGTCCACACAACAGATACACAACTGTCTTAGTGGCCCACACAACAGATACACAACTGTCTAACTGGCCCACACAACTGTCTTAGTGGTCCACACAACAGATACACAACTGTCTTAATGGCCCACACAACTGTCTTAGTGGTCCACACAACAGATACACAACTGTCTTAGTGGTCCACACAACAGATACACAACTGTCTTAGTGGTCCACACAACAGATACACAACTGTCTTAGTGGCCCACATAACTGTCTTAGTTGCCCACACAACAGATACACAACAGTCTTAGTGGCCCACAAAACAGTCTTTAGTGGCCCATACAATAGATACACAAACATCTAATACATAGGGAATCAAATCATGCAGTCTTCAAGTCTTAAAGTCATCAACTTGGAGTAATCAATTCTTGCAGTCATCGACTCATGCAGTCATCATCTCCTGCAGTCATCAACTTCTGTAGTCATCAAATCTTGCAGTCATCAACTCTTGCAGTCATCATCTCTTGCAGTCATCAACTTGCAGTCATCTCATGCAGTCATCATCTCGTGCAGTCATCAACTCTTGCAGTCATCATCTCTTGCAGTCATCAGCTCTTGCAGTCATCTCCTGCAGTCATCTTGTAGTCCTGGATGTAGGTGTGTGTGGGGGAGGGGGGGTGGAGATACCGTACAGCCCGATAGCTCTCCTAACTGTTCCACTAACGACCTTGACCTAGCTATGGTGAGCCGACTGGAAGCAGCGTTGTATCTAGTTCTGCCTGAAGATGGTATCAATACATTATGTCTTCAGGCACCCCCACTCCTCACCCAGCCTCTCACCCACCCCTCACCCACCCCTCAATCTACCTACATATCTAACCCAGCAGTCACTGTATGACGTCATCACTCTGCTCTACATAAGATAACTCCCCGCTAAGAAGATAATTATCTAATTCCTGTCGTCTGCTAATTTTCTTGATGGGAAAAATCATTTTGTATAAAATAAGCTTAATACGTAGCCACAGTGCGATTAATGGAAAATAGGGTAATGTACTGGGGAGGGATGGGGTTGTATTAGGTGTCGAGTAATGGGGGTGCGGTGGTGAGATCCTACATACATTATATATATAATAAATTTATAAAATATAAATATAAATATAAACCTGGTGCTAGGGTTGGTTCGACATGGTGCTAGGGCTGGTTCAACCTGGTGCTAGGGTTGGTTCAACCAAAATTTCACAGTATATATATATATATATATATATATATATATATATATATATATATATATATATATATATATACTGTGAAATTTGCACAAAAGATAAAATGATAAAGAATATAATTCACAAAATGTTACTATGTATTAAGCACTGACTGGGAAAGTTAGAAAATGAAAGAGTTCATATCGTGTCGTTAAAAGATGTGAAGCCAAACGATGACTTGTTAAATTATTTTTCACTTTGGATGAGAGTCTTCACATCATTATTTTAAAACCCGCAGGCGGTAGGATCTAACTGATAGCACCGGGGTACCCTAAACACTGCCTCTAAATGGGACCTTTATGCTCCTGTTGGGACCTACATAATTCTACCAAGTATGACCTAAATACTCCACCTTGGACGTAAATACCAACTGAGACCTACGTATTGCCCTAAATGTGACCTAAATACTCCACCAACTGGGACCTAAATACTCCACCAAGACCTAAATATTCCACCGAGACCTAAATACTCCACAATATAAAATCTAAATACACCAACTGAAATCTAAATTCTCCACGAACTGAGACCAAAATATTCCACCAACTGGGACCTAAATACTCCACCAAGACCTAAATATTCCACCGAGACCTAAATACTCCACAATATAAAATCTAAATACACCAACTGAAATCTAAATTCTCCACGAACTGAGACCAAAATACTCCACCAACTGGGACCTAAGTACTCCACCGAGACCTACATACTCCACCAGCTGAGACCTACGTATTGCCCTAAATGTGACCTAAATACTCCACCTAATGTGATCTAAAATCTGGCTACTGTGATCTGATTACTGCCACCACGAGTCCACAATGAAGCTCCTCCCCAGGGATACAACGACTGTCTTCCACCCTGTGAAAGCCTTACAAAAATGTCCTTGGATTTCGACTAAACTCATGACGCAGCGTTGATAAAAAATAAGATATTTTTTGTTATGGATTCTGGGATTTCCATAGCAACCAAAATGTTGATGGTATGCTAGTTGGTTTAGTAGGTCTTGGCAAGATTTCCCATACAAACAAAAAAAGACAGGTAAAAACGTTGATGTACCTCCATATGCTCGCAATTACTACACCTTGATTTACGTACGAGGGTTGATTAGTTAGATGGGCGGTGGGAGGGGGGCGGAACAGTTCGACACTCTCACACTTAGAGACATGGCGCGGGGGGTGGGGCGATACGACCCCAGGTACACATGGGGTGAATTAAAACAGATTATCATCTAATTAGGACAAATGGCGTTTACTTATACTATGTGTTTCACTTCTCTACAAGAGACGGTAAAATTGTAATGAAAAACTGTTAATATTTGAACTGGTAAATAAAATAATCGAGATCTTGGAA